TGGATAAACCACACTGATTCTTGAATGTCCAAAACCAATGACGACATGAAATAGGATGTCAAGGAAAGCAAGAAATTGTCTTTCCACACGATATTCAAGGAAGAGATCTGAGCCTTTTTTATACAGACATTGAAATTAGAGGACTTAGTAAAGAGACCTACAAAACAGTTCCGTATGTGGTTCTTTTTACTTTCTTTTTTTTTTTTTAATGTTTTTATTTATTTCTGAGAGAGAGAGAGAGAGAGAAATAGCGTGAGCAGGGTAGGGCCAGAGAGAGAGAGGAAGACACAGAATCCGAAGCAGGCTCCAGGCTCTGAGCTAGCTATCAGCACAGAGCCTGACGTGGGGCTCGAACTCACACACCGTGAGATCATGATCTGAGCCAAAGTCAGACGCTTAACTGACTGAGCCACCCAGGCGCCCCTACTTTCTTCATTCTAATTTAACCCCAAATTCTCCCTTTTTTTTAAAAAAAAGTAATATATTCACTTATTACATTCAATAAGAACTATCACTCATAAATAAGATAATGCCAAGAGTATATAAATGCTGTATTTATACATGTATTATAAATGTATTATAAATGCTGTATTTATACAGCATGGCATTTTCAAGATTATGGTATTAAGTATTGCTATAAACACTGACTTGCATGGTAAGGTCACAAAATGCTGTAGAGAAGTGAAAAGTGGTGAAAATCTGGTCAGGAAGTAAACATATATTTAGATGAAGAGTTGATATTTAAAATGCCTATATTTTCCCTCTTACATTGATGCTTAATGGTCTTTTGACTTTTAGCCTTTTTTGGTAAAAAGCTATGGGCACTGTGCCCAGAAAAATGCACACAGATCTGAATTTTGCATGTGATTTCAGGGAGTCTGTAGATGCACATTTCACCCTCAAGCCTATTGATGGACCTCCTAGAAGTCTATAGATTCCAAGATAAGAACTCTAGCCCCAAGATTTACCCAAAAGGTTTCCTTGGGAAGAAAACATTTTAGAATAATTTCTTGGAAAACATGTTCTCAACAGTTTTCTTCAACATTTTCAGTGGAAAACAAGAAGTATTTTCCTGCTGGTATAAAACTCAGCAATAAATAACTGTGTCTCATGAAAGGCAAACATGTACACATAGAACCATAATTCACATCTACTGATAAAAATGTACAGACAGACTTATACAGGAGGAAAAAAAGAGGAAGTAAATATGGGTCTGACAAAGATTTTCCTGAGGGGATAATATTTAAACTCAGCGGGCCTTGAAGAGTAAGGAGACTTTTAAGAGATTAAAAAAATGTTTTATTTATTTTTGAGACAGAGAGAGACAGAGCATGAGCATGGGAGGGGCAGAGAGGGAGGGAGACACAGAATCCAAAGCAGACTCCAGGCTCTGAGCTATCAGCGCAGAGCCTGACGAAGGGCTCAAACCCATGAACCCATGAAATCATGACTTAAGCCAAAGCTGGATGCTTAACCAACTGAGCTACCCAGGTGCCCTGAGCAAGGAAACTTCTAAAGTTATGTTTGGGTGTCACAGATATGTCTAAAATCTTGACTTAAAAAGATCCTAATACATCATTTATATTTCTGAAAATTATTCCTTATGGAAATAACCTCCAAGCACTTCCAAGCAGTGACAGTCACTTATTTATGAAGATGAGTTAATAAGCATGTACAAAAATAAAAAAAAGATTAAAAAATTAAATGGAATAAGAATCTCAGATTTAAAAAAACCTTAAAAGTCATCCAGTCCAACCCCTTCAACTTATAGATGAAAAGATAGAGGTGACACCCTTAGCTCCTCAAAAGCCACCAAGAACAAAGGTCTCCACCAAAGAGCAGGAAATATTAGGAAGAAGTATTAGGGAACAAAATTAGACATATAAATATTTAACATAATGTATTTCACAAGCAGCCTAATTTGGTCCTTATGACACAGGATCCTATGTCACAAACAGTTCAAGAGACACGCCAAGATAGGAGTGGATATTCCACAGAGCAGAATCTGGACAGTGGGCCATTGCTCCTTTGACCACTTCCAGTATTTCGGATATTCTGAAATTTATGTATGCTTAGGTGAGTGGATTAATAAATTATATAACTTAACTGACAGCAAGACTACCTTCACTAAATGGGCAAGTGGTTTTATTTTTTTTTTTTTGTGATCACAAAGGAATTCATAATTTAATAGAATAAATATGAGTAGAAAAGTAAAGACATTTCGAGAAACTGTTGAGAAGAATTATTTAGGTAAAGAGCAAACATTTATACTTTTTCCACTTTTAAAATTTATCTTCCCTGCCATCCTAGATCTAGTTGCTGATAGGAAGGCTTTATTTATTTCATTTTGGTTTTTTCTTTCATAGTTTAATGTCAAGTTGGATTCCACATAGCACCCAGTTCTCATTCCAACAGGTGCCCTCCTCCATGCCCATCACCCCCTTTTCCCTCTCTCCCACCATCAGCTCTCAGTTTGTTCTCAGTATTCAAGAGTCTCTTATGGTTTGCCTCCCTCCCTCTTCCCAACTATTTTTCCCCTTCTCCTCCACAGTCCTCCATTAAGTCTTTCCTAATCCTCCTATAAGTGGAAGCATATGGTATCTGTCTTTCTCTGTCTGATTTATTTCACTCAACGTAGGGCAAGTGGTTTTAAAGGATGCCGGCACAGAAACTGGGTACTGAAAATATCCTAAGCATACAAACACAAGAAAATGGAGGAGCAGACATCTCCACTCCTAATGAGACTTCACCAGCTACATTAGAAAATAAAACAGAGGCAATTGTGACCACAAGTTGGACAAACAATTCAAAATTATCAAGATTATGTAAACTACAGTTCTACACTGTCACTGGCAATAAATAGTACCCTAATTGTATATTGTACCATGAGATATTAGTTATTACAAATATATTCTTGGAAGTGGTATGTATAAAATGTTTTTACTGATGGGAGTAAAGCAATGAAAAAAGGCTAGAGAACATTGTTCCAAGAGGAAAGAGCTCAGCGTCCAGCCTCAACTGGAATAGGTAGAGGGAGAATTCTTCCCACCATTTGCTACTTCTGGTTAATGATAGCATCTCTTCTATCCTGCAAAGGTGAGAACTGGGTTGGAAACACTTGGAAGAAAAGAAACAGAAGCAATTCTAAAAATCTGAATTCTAATATAAAGGATGTAGTCAGAAAAGGCCAGTAAACTTTTATAATTCTAAAAGCAATTCAGGCCCAGACACAACGGGCATTAGAAATTAAAATCAGTACTTAGAAAAAACAGGCAGCCAAGCACTCAGTGGACTATATTCAGGAGTTCGCGATGTATGCTCACAGTGCACTAACCCCAAGTGCCACTCCATTCTCCACAGGCTCATATTCCTGGGGACCTTAGCAATAGGGCCTTTTATAGCACTGAAAGTAAGTCAGCATGAACTTGGACTTTTATAATGGCTAGATAAGGCCACGCCATTAGTAACATTTGTAGCTATGCAAAGTAACATAATAAGGGTAATCAAATATCATGCTTTGGGTGGTAAGCTGATCTAAACTAAGGATCATAAAGGAATGTTATCCCCCTCCTCTGCAAGAACACAATTGAGCATTTGGCTGGTTCATTATGAAAGGACTGGCACAGGGCACAGCCTTTGTTGGACTCCGTGCATAATACAGGAAAGGGAATTCTGGCTCCATAGAAAGCCAGAAAAGGTTTTTTAAGAACTATGTGAAATTTGTCCACGGCACTTACTTTCCAGGGCTCATTGGTCATGATGTGTTTGTTTCTCTAAGATCTGCAGAGTTACTCTATTCTATGATGCATACAAATAAATTTAAGTGGTTGACTCCTTCACAAAGCTGAGCAGATAAGTCTTAATTTATTACTTAGGTTTGAGAGCTCAGGTCACTGCACAAAGGAAACATACTTAACTTTTTAGAAGCTGGCCCCTTTTAAGAAAACTCAAGAGTCTGTAATTCTTTGGCACTAAGAGCTATGCAAACTGCCAGCAGTATCAGTATCCAAGTTTCCTCGACATGCATCATTCAAGACCTTCTCAGCTTTACATGGGCTGGGAACTGCTCATTTTCTGTTTTACTAAGAAAAGAGCTCAGGTGAGGCTGCTAGGGTAAAGATATATGTTTCTCTAGCCAGTATTAGAAACCACTAAAAATGCTCATAGTGAAAGAAAACATGTTTATTTGTATACTATATAAGGAAATTTTCTGAAAGCCCTCAGCCTCTTCCCAAATTCTATGAAACAGTGATGGGGGGGGGGGAAGCTTTTAAGTAAGAGTACTATCTCCAAGTACATTCTGGTACTTTAAAATGTAGAAGAGCAAAAATAATGATAAAGAATGTATTTCAACGATTTTTTTTCAGGCTCCGATGGTTAGATACACTCTCACCACGTCCTAATACTACCAACATCTCCTATTACCACTTATTTTACTTATCTGTGGAATTGCTTTAGAAAAAAAGAAAAGTTTTGCTTATCCATGATTAAACCATAGATTGGAAGAGCTGTTTCATTAGACTGAAAGACTCAAGCTTTGAAGCAATGATACGTATACATTCTAGAGGGCACAGAAAGAATGTGTGTTCAGTCGCCTTAGCATATCCCTAAGAATTTATATACATTTCTTTTCTTTTTTTTTTAGAATTTATATACATTTCTAAAGGAAAAAACTAAGGCCAAATCAAAAATTACAATCTGAATTTTTTTTAATCCAACCCTGAATAAACCCAAACACCCCTTTCTTACCTAACAAGTATTACTTAAGGCAGAAATAGTTTTCAAAACAGAAAAATTAAAAGAGAATTAAGAATTACGTGACCCTTACACCACGGTTACTATTTGCATCGATTATCAAAGCCATCTAAAATCCCAAAGCAAAAATGCACTAAAACAAAACGTGAAGAGGTTTATCTCAATTTAACAAATATATTTTAAAAAGCAGTTTCAGAATCTGAAGCCAGATTATTTTTATTAACATAAGGGGAAATTTTGCATACCTGCTTCTGTTGGTCTTAGATCTTGAGACCTGGAGGTCCAAGAAAACAATCCAGAAGGTTTAAAATTCGGCCTAAGATGTGTCTATCCTCAGTTAATCCTCTGTCAAAGTCAGGTCAGTGTTCGACCAAAGAAAATAAGCAAGGCCAAACTGAAGTATTCTGCCTACTACTAAGATTTTAATCTCAAAAGAACTTGGTCTCAAGTAGAAAGGCCAATTTTCAACATGGGTGTGGTTTGGAGCTATAAAAAAGTCAAGAGGCAAAAATGTAGATGTCATCATCATTTGCTTGATTATGACTGTGTCTTAAAATATACCAGGATTTTCACTTTAGTCTTTAGATTCCACTCAAGCAGATCTTCTTCCTATGGATTGGGACTGTCCTATAAAGGTCTTATTATTTTTATACATATTCCTTTGCCACTTTAAATTTTGAAATGGCAACTTTGTTTTCACCATGTGAAAAATCATTAAGCAATTAAGTATAAATGGAGAGTCCTAAAAAAATAACTAGGAAATTGCCTTAAACCTAGAAACAAAATAAACCCTACATCCTACTGAATTTTGTTTATAGTCACTGAACTAATTTCAAGGAAATGTATAAAATTACCTTTGAATACTAACTGGAAGCATTATATAGACATAACAGTGTTAAAGCTAGAGAGTATCTCAAAGGTTATAGTCCAGTTCCACTGTCAAGTATGGCAAGAAAAGGTTCACTTATAAAATCTATAATCCATTTTCAGTGAATGGTTAATTCTCCGAAGAGGAAGTGTGAGACACATTTTATGATGCCTCCATAAAAGTAAAGAATGGCTGTTATAAAAACTGCTTCACAAAGTGAAAGAAAAAGTTAAGGGTTTTTATGGTACCAGCCAGTTTAAAAAAGAAAAAAAGTACATACCATATGATCCTCCTTATATCATATTCTAGAAAATGCAAACTAAGCAATGGAGACAGAAATCAGATGAATGGTTGTCTGGAAAAGGAGTGGAAGGAGGGACAGACTTCATGGGGACATAAAGAAACTTTGGGAGGTAATGAAAATGCTATGTACCTTGATTGCAGTGCTGGTTTTGCGAGTGCATACGTCTATCAAAACATATCAAATTGTCTGCTCTAAATGAGTAAGGGCTACTATACCTAAATTCTACCCCAGTGATTGTTAAAAACTACACTGACATATATTTAAAAGGCACTTATATTGAAGAAGGCTCACTCTTGCTCTACGTGGCCACGGTATGGCTGAACTAGAACCATTAGGCCAAAATAACAAAAAATTTCTGCATTGATACGAGTAAATTTATGTTGCCCAAGTGGGTCCAGAGTCAACCTGGGTTACGTCTGGAACACTGAAGTTCTCTTCACTGGGCATGTTCCAACACAGGCTCAAAGTACAGTTTGGGGGTACGATGTTCTCTTTAGGGATTCCTACAGAAAATTGCATGAAGTAACCACTAAGGATTGTCACATCAAAACATTACATTATTTTAAGGAGGCCCAGTTATGGATGTTCGTGACCCTGTGGCTACTGTGTAGAGTCCTGCTAACGTCCTGACTAAAACAAGGATATGCTGTGTCTGATTTCCCCCAAGGACTTCACTTCATAGGAAAAGTCAATTACTTGCCCAGTGCATCCTTTTTAAAAAATGGATCCTGTGTGCCTATTTTCTGATCTTTGAAAAGTAATTTGTAAAGTGGAAAATACTTGGAAAATAAGAAAATTTAAATCACTCTCAAGCACACCATTCAGAAACGACCAGGAGGCCAATATGTTATGAATTTCTAGTCTTGTACAAATATATGCATGAATATAGTTTTCTTTTTACAAAGTTCGTACCTTTCAATATATAGTTTTACTTTTAACATTAGTAACACCTTTTCCCCACCATGAAGCATTTTTTGAAAACATGCCTTTCATGTTTCATTAATGGTCCACGTTATGACTGTACCCTGATTTATTTGAGCATTCATGTTGGTAACTATGGTGGTTTCCAGTGTTTTACTTTTAGAAATAATGCTTCAACATCCCTGAACACAGAAAATGAATGGACCGTGAATATCCCTGAATTCGACTTCTCTAATATTTTATCCATCCATTTTCTTACAACCAATTTCAATATCCCCTCTGCTGGGATGTGCTGTGGGAGACCATTACAATGTGCAATATGGTGGCTGCCACCTTTGCCGACAAGAGTGTTTTCTTAGAGTATCTACTAGGAACCTCAACCAAAATTTTAGAGAAAATACACTAATTTGATCTCAATAAATACTATGCAGAAAGCGATGCAGTGCTGAGGTACCACTCAGGGCCAAGGATAAAACCAAGTTGTGGTTTTAACAACTCTTGAATATTCGAGGCAAAAGTGTTGTTGGAACCAATACAGAATCAATAAATACTGGAAAATAATATCCTGACTCCCAGTTGCTTATGTAACTGAAACTACTTGATAAAGCAAGAACATTTATAAAAGATGTACTGTTTTGTGTTGCAATGCACCTTCAGGGCAAGAGACACAGTTTTTTAGATCTCTGGAAACCCACATATTCTTACTTGGAGAACTGTTTATAAGAACAGTTTTCACAATATAAGAATTTTTTCCTGTATCTTAAAAATAGTACATTTCTCAAACTTCTAAAATGTCATAGTAGTGGTTACCCTTGAGATTAGGGATAATTGGAAGGAAGCAGGAGGGTTAGGGGATGCTGGAATAATTCTGGTATCTCAATTTAGGTGCTGATTTCATAGGAGTATCATTTTGTCAAAACTCATCAAGTTATACATACACTCATGATTTGTACAGTTGTCTGCATGTGTACTACCTGCCAGTTAAAGACTCAGAAACGGACAAAAAACAAAAAGTCCACTCCCTTGCCCCCACTATATTACACTAGGTAATCTGACAGAATAGAAATTAACTTATTCGATAAAAGATGAATTGGAAACCTCATCTCTAACGATCCCAGTTCTATTCCTGAAATTAGACATTCTTTAACAATGTCCTTTTGTTGACAACATGAAATAATAAACACACATATCTTGCAGAATTTTGGAGCCTTGAGAATATAACCAGTCACTAAAGTTTACTACTTTAAAGCAATTCAATAAGTAGTTCTGAGTACCGACTAAGTTCAAGATGTTGCAAGGGCATCTTTTAATGCAGATTTATGGAAGAAAACATGAGAGAGAATTTAAAATGGCCTTTGAGAGACTGGCAGATGACACAGATTCTTTTTATCATTTTACACCTACTGGGGAAAACAAGTAGATGTCACACATATCAGCACCTTGGAAAAGGTTTCCTAGAATTAGTAGGTGTCAAAAGCTGTCATACACATGTAGTACTACAAATAAGTGGAAAGGAAGACAGGAAGGCACACTGGGCAGTTAAGAGGCCGTGAACAAAGGTGTAGAACTATGACAGTATAGGGCATACAATCAGAAATTAAAAGCAAATATCCTGGCTGCATGAGTGTCCTTATTTCATGTCATAATTTTCTTCTGAATCTAAGTTACCAGAGAAGCAGGCACAATGTGAATGACTTCCCTTTGCAACACACAGAGAAAAGTGCCACCGTAGCTCTCCTTGACTATACAAAAGTCCTGAAATATCCTTTCCAAAACTACTTGTTTTGGAATCTGGCCCTGAGATGATTTCAGTTTAGAAAAATAGCCAGCTAAATCACATTTTCTCTGACACATCAACATTAATGCCTGCAACCCTGCTGGCAGTGATAACCACTGCTGTCTTATCTGTCAGCAAAGGCAGACAATGCTTCCGTCAGAGGCAGGCAGAATAATAATTCCCCTCAAATATGCCCATGCCCAAACCCCCAGAAGCTGTGAAGATGTTACCTTACTTGGAAAAAGGGATTTCGCAGATGTGTTTAAAGTTATGGGCCTTAGGATGGGACAGAGTATCCTAGATAATTTAGACAGATCAAATCTAATCACATAAATTCCTTAAGAGCCGAGAACCTTCCCCTGCAGATAAGAAAGGAGGTGAAGGAGGAAGAAGGGCAGGTAGAGGAGGAGGAGGCAGAGCAGGAGGAGGAGGAGGAGGAGGAGGAGGAGGAGAGGCAGTGGGATTCCAATTGTAAAAAGACTGGACTCTCCGATGCTGGCTTAGAAGATGGAAGAAAGGGGCCATGAGCCAAGGAATACAGGGGGCCTCCAGAAGTTGGGAACGACCTTCAGTTTATATCCAATAAGAAAATAAGGATCTCAAGTCTACCACCTCAAGAAACTGAATTCTGTCAAAAACTTGAATGATCCATGGAAAAGATTCTCCCCCTAGGACCTTCAGAGAGGAACAGCTCTGCCAACATCTTGATTTTAGCCCAGTGAAGAGACCGATGACTTCCAGCCTACAGAATTGTAAGGTAATAAATGTGTTGTAGAAGTCACTAAGCTGGTGGCATCTCGCTAGGGGAGCAACAGAACACTAACACAGGCTCACACGGTCTTATTCAGAACAGGATATTCTTACCACCTTGGCCTTGGATTACCCACAAGAGAGAACAGCTATCATTTTGAAGAAGCAGAGAACAGTAGATTTGTAAGGAAGGGCCAGTGTTGGCTTTATGACTCTCCTTTAATAAATTTTCCCTTCAATAGGATATAAACACATATTGGAATTGAGTCAAATATTCGGTTTAGCAACTTAAAAAGAAAAACACTACAACAGTGAAAAGCTTCAAGATTCTGCCAGTAATGATGAACTGGGCGCCTTACTATTAACCCTAATAGACTGAGGCCCAGAGATCACTGCAGTAGACAGTAAATGCCACCCAGTAATTAGGTGCAGTGGTTCTCACCAGTGGTCATAAATTCAACCTGTGGAGCTTATGTTAAATGAAGATTCCTGGATCTTATCCCCAAAGATGATCATTCAGAAATTTTAGGGTAGGACCTAGAAATTTGAGTGAGATGAAAATTCAGAATTTCAAAATGTTGTCCCCTAATGAATGATTAATACTGTCAAAGTACTCCCATCAACCATTCTCTCACCAACCACCTTAGATCTCTCTATTCTGACAGGGGCCCAGAGCAATTCTTGTCAGGAGTTAGCCCAGGGCTAG